TGTTTCAATGAGAGTCTGTTTAAAAACAATACAGAAGATCTTGTAATCTTCCTGCCTGCAGTGCCTGTGGGTAAAGGAGACCTTTTCCAGGAATCCTTCCAGTATAGATGAGAGAAGTTTTTTTTAGTAAGAGTCACTGCTGTTTTGTACCCAAACTCTAGTGTAGGCAGGGCTGACAGCATTGTTTGAGCTGTTGGCTATGCCGTTTCATCTCATGAGTCTGTAGATGAGAAGTTATGCTACACAGTTCAGGAGGACTTTGGGTAATTGCTGTTTAGCAAACACTGAAGAAAAAACTCTGAAAATGGTTAGAAGACTTTAACAGTTGATCTGGAAATGGTACAAGAAGTTCCAATGGCCGTGACTATGGGAGGGCTGCAAGGGCAGCATGGAACAGGTTGAAACGTGATCTCTATCGGCAGATTGCTGGATAGCATCTCCAAAACCCTTGGCTAGTGCTACAGAGTGGTTATACGTGCCTGTAGAACTCTCTGCAAAGTTAAACTCTCAGGAGGATATGGGAACTCCTAGCTGATGGCTTAAATGATCTTGGATTTGGATCTCAGTCTGCAGTTAGAGGCAGATGTCTGCTCTAGAGTGAGGTTTATTTTTCTGTCAGTCTGAGACTTGAAAAACTGCACAAGGTAGGGATGAGTATTGTATGTTTAGTGTGATTAAATCAGCTTCTGTCTCAAGTGTCTGATACTGCACTGTAGATTTTATGTTCCAGATTTAGTTATGGGGAGAAATAAATCTGCAATTTTTTTTTTTTTAGGCAGATGCCTGTGATGTAACTGGAAGTGAAGCAAAACAGATTAAAAAAAAAAAAAGTCTGTAGCTAATGCTCACTTTGAGAAGCCTATTGATTAAATTATGTTCCTGTGAGCACTTGATCTGGTATTCTGATTTCCTTTATAAAGCCCAAGTTAGTTCATGCCTTGATTTTGAAAATTCCTATTTTTGGCCAACAGTAAATCAACTTTGTTCATTGTCTCCCATGAAATATCTCTGAGCCTGATGCTTTAGCTGAAGCTGGCTGAATTCTCACTTTGAATAATGAGTGAAAGCAGTGACACAGTTATCAGCCTTAAGAGCTAATTCCAAAAACCCATGACTGAGTCTTCCCTCAGTTTGAGTGGCTGTGCCGTGTTCCAGTACCCATGAACTTAGTTTATTAAGCTAATTAAGTTAGTGTAGTGGGAAAGGAAGGAAAATAACTTGATGCTTTAAAAAGCTGGAGGGAGATAAAAGGATAAATGACCAACTCAGCCAAGTGGTATTGTTTACTTTGAGTCTCTGAAGACCTCTGCAGATTTATCCCAAAGAAAACAAAGTAAAAGATGTCTAGTGAGAAGTTTGTCATCTGTCGTCTTCTCCAGACTCTACCACTAAAGCTGAGCCCCTGCCATTGCTTGTTCAGGCAGGCCCTTAAGTGCCAAGTAAATTCTTTTGGTTCTGATGCACCTGATGAAGTTTGAGAGGCCTGACAGAACCATGCCTTCTGCTGGCTTTGATTTATATCCAGTGGCCTTGTTGATTTTGGCACTGCTTTCCTCCAAAGCTGCTTCAGGTGTAAGCTGTTTTCCACCCACTTGTCTCAGGGTGTTCATCAGCTTTGTCCTTTCCTCTGCTGACCTCACTGGGGGTGTCATGGGGGGCACTGGAGACCAGCACCAAAGGGCATTGCTGCTTCTGCATTGTGGTCCTGGAGAAAGACAAAGTGTAGTAGTACCATCACCCCAGCTACAACAGGTGGGATCTCCCATAACTGTGGTCATGGTGTGGAAATGCCCTTTCTTCTCTAACTCCTTGTTGGAAGGATGGGCCCTTCACCAGTAGTGAGACTGCAGGTCGTATATCCACTGGTTTACAGAGCTGTTGGGTGCTGGAAACATCAGCTCCGGCTTGCCTTTTCTTGCTGTTTATTGCAGATGGCACCTGGACTCCAAATCCCCTCGAAGCTGGAAAGCTGATGCCTTGGGCTGTTCCTGTTTTGACCTGAACTGCTCTTTAGTTTGAGCAGGAGTAGCCATCTCATCTCCTTGGAGGACTGTGTGTCTTTGGAGAGACCTGTTATCTGGGCACAGGAGGAGCCCTCAAGTTGTCTTTGGGGGTATGGCCTGCTGCCACTTTTCCTGAGACGTCAGCCTGCAGGCTGATGACTTCTTGGAGCATTAGAGAATAAACCCTCTTTCCCAGGATGTTCATTCTCTGCTTCCAGATACTGGGGTGGGTTTTTAAGGGTTTTTTAACAGTTTTTAAGGCTGTTTCTGAGGTAGTGTTAGTGAAGGAAGAGGGTGCTAAGTGTATGAGTAGTTTGGGCCGGGCAAGAACCGATTGCCGCCGTGCATGAATGTGCTCCAACAAGGCTTCTTCATAGGTGTGATGGCTTGAGGGGACTTTGGCAGTGGCAAACACCTGTTAGTCTTCCAAGACAACTGTAATTACAGCGTATCAATTTGGTAGATTATCTTGGTTCCCAAAGGTACTGGAGTTGCATGTGTTGAAGTGGATAAGTTCATAACTACCAAAAGCATTTCTGAATGAGTTACATAGCTTTGTCTTTGCCGTGGCACTTCCTTACGGGCTGGGGGTCTTACAGAAATGCATACAAGCTGGAAGTGGGTTTGTGTGCTTTATCTAACTGTGCTGGTTTCGGACAGGAATGAACTCTGCTCCTTTGCAGAGCTGGCCAGCCCGCAGCAGCTGATGGGTTTGTTTTGTTCCATTGGTACATCAGGTTCAGTGGTCAGGCTGAGTGTGCACGTGTGCAGTTTGGAAGGCTTGGAGGTGCCCTGGGGTGGGAGGATCATTAAGGCTTTTTTGGGCGAGCTGGGTTGTTAACTCGTTTTGTTAGCTCTTGGCACTACTGTTAGCAGAGAAGCAGTTTCTTTTGGTAATGGTTTGGGGTTGGGAGTGGGTTTTCTGTCTGCTCTGGGGCTCTCAGGCTCGGGGGGGTTTTCTCCCCACTCTTGTTTGCTGCTTTGGGACCTGGCCGTGTCAATTGGCATGTGGTGAGCTACTGTATTGTATGTTCTATTTTCTATTGGTTTAACTACTTAGTAGTATTGTTAGTATCACTATAAGTTTCATTTATATCATTAAATCATTCTTATCTCAACCTTTACAAGCTTTCTTTGCTGTTTGGTTTTTTTTTTTCTTCCTCTGACCCTTCTCCACTGTTGGGGCAGGCAGAGGTGAGTGAGCAGCTGATTTGTACTTAATTGCCAGATAAGCCTAAACCATGACACTAATGTACTGAAAATGTGTCTACTGACCTTTGGTAAAGAAGGCAGGTAGAAGTTGTTTCATCAGGCACTTCTGAATTCTCAGTATTTGTGTGCTTAGCTGTTTTTTTATTAATTTGTGAGGAAGAAGAATGTAAGTTAAGCAGTAGTCCAGCTCTTCCCTGCCCCCTTCTTGTTGGCCCAGGAAAATGTTGTGATATTTTGCTAATGCCAGATGGCCTTCAGCAGGGATGCACGTTCATGCGATACGCACTAGAACCACTCCTGTTTCACCTCTGATTTCTGCACCCCCTGCCGCTTACCAGCAGAGGTGAAGAGCTGGGAACATGGAGTAGGACCTGGATTTTCCAATAATGAATTGGAACTAGATCTCTCTGGTAAACCAAAATATATAAATTAGCTGAGAAGGAGTCGGTCCTGTATAATATCAAAGTCTGGTCCTGTATAATATCAAAGAATGTTAGACTGCAGTTTGTGCTAGCTTTGTCACCCTTGCAGCTTTAACAGAAATACTGACTATTGTTGCAAGACTGGCCATTTGCATTTTGGATCTTTTGCCTGAAAACTCAAATCAGTGTAAAACAGAAGTCTTCATTTGTAAAGAGGAAGTGAATGCAGCTCAGTTTCAGATGAAGAAGTGCTTAATATGCTAGTCAGGACCAACTTGACGGTCATTGATCTTTGAAACATCAACTCTTGACTGACAAAACTATGGCAAGTGATGGAGAACTGAACCAAGAGCATTCAGTGCATTCTATTTGCCCTATTTAGCTGAGAGCTTAAAGGTGAAGTTCCTGGGCAGATGATCTTCAGAGATTGTCTAGCCAAGAGCAAACATTGCTGCTTGTTCAGTAGTACATACGGAGATAGGCACTCCCAAGGCCCCTGCCGTCATAATAAGAAGCATGTAATATGGTGACTGATATTAGCTAGTTATCCAGTGATTTTTAAATCACTGATACATATGTATTTTCCCTGTTTGTACAGGTATACTTGTTGTAGTGTTACAATGGATAATCTAACTTGTACCTTTCTAGCTGTTGATGGTCATCTGTCAAGTTTTGCTCAAGCTGAATATACTTAAACTGTCAGTGCCTCATCTTCTCATTAAAACTGCCCTGTTGAGAAGGACAGCAGACACCTTCAGACTCTGACTTTCTCATAGTATTGGTCAGCAAACAACTGACCAGTAGAAACCATCTCTGTAAAGCAGTAATAAGTTCACTGTGACGAGCCCTGTATTTGTAGGGTGTTTTTGCTCAATTACAGCTATTTCTGTACAAAAGTAAAGCATTCTGTTATGTGGGAAGCTATTGGGAAGGATGTTCTCTGTTGATAAATATTACTCACCTAAGCTTGTTCACACAGGTTGTGTCTTGGGTTTAGCTACTCCTGGGCAAGGTATGAGCAAAACTCACTCTTTATGCCTTGTGATTACAAGTTTAACACTTGTTTAATTCATTGTCATCTACTTTTTCTGTAGGTATGCTAGCTTGTTTTAAAACCAACTTTTGATAAGGAGTGACTTCTGAAAGGTTAATTGATTAATAATGCAGAGTTTAGTGTACTGTCTAGGAGAATTGGTGAAAGTGTCTTTGTGTGCAGTGTAACCAATGATGTGCTGTTGGCCAAACAGGTTTTGTCTGATATTACCGAATGGTTTTTGACCAGATGATGATATTTGTCTAATTAATATGCCACTAGTGCGAATACTAAAGCAAACTTGTGCTTTGTGTTCTTCCTCCCACAGGACAAAATGTTTCACTTTTGGGTAAATACATTCTTCATAGGACTGGATGAAAATTCAGACAAAGTAGAAAATGGAAGTCTAGTTGCGGATCAGGAACTTGATGGTATTTTCAGTACAGAGCGCTCAGATAATGATAAGGAATATTTGATCCTTACATTAACAAAAAACGATTTAGACAAAGCAAATAAAGACAAAGCCAACAGATATTTCTCTCCAAACTTCAAGGTTAGTATATATTATGTGTATAAAGAGCTGAAAAGCTGCATGATGTTATCTGATTTGTCTGTCTTGCCTTATGGAAGAACCATTGGAAACTGCTGTCTGTGTAGAAATTTAATTCATGCGTTAGCTTTGCTGAGTGGTGGCAATACTGAGACTGGGAGTATTTGGGTCATTTCAGGCATTTATCAAAGCCATTAGAGACGAGTAGTAGGAGACCAGAGACCCCGTAGCCTGTTTGCTGTACCAGCCACATTGCCATGAGCTCTGAGTTTTGCACATTAATTCCTGAGTTGATTTACAGAGGTGCCTGCTTCACGGGAAGAGATGCCTGTGAGTTTAGCTTTGAGGAATATGAACCATTGCCAACACTGTTTTTAATGCTGTAAAAGGCATTTTTATGAAAGTTAGTGTTGTCTAACTTGCTCATAAAATATCAGTTAGACTCCAGCAGTGCTCGTTTGAAGGTGATGGTCATAGTTGCTTGTTGGAATGTTGCTTGGTTCAGACTTCTAACACACAGGTGCGTCACCAGTTACCTATGTTTTGTTCGTTCCTATGCACTCTTGTTACCATCTCTTTTTGTGGTTGCAGAGGTCTAGAAGAAGGTAGGACGGCCGAAAGGCTTGGTGTGGCGGGCCTGGTGCAGTGGTATATCCTGCTGCTGCAGCTGAAGAGCACCAGTGGTTGGTGCAGATATGCAGAACTCCTTCAGCTGGGCGTGAAAAACCTGCTGCTTTCCCAGTCCTTTGTTTTGACAGGGGTGGTAGTGAGAGGCTGGCTAACCTCAGAGGGCTCTTTAGTTCCTTCTCTCCAGAATAGAGGGGAGCACTCGTGTGATTCAGTGTAGCTGTTAAAAATTGCATTGTTACCTGTGCTCGGTTAAAGTCCAGGTTCCCTTTTTAAATGTTGTTTTTTCCTTTCCCAGGTGAAGCTATTTTTCACAAAAACAGTAGAAGAGCCATCAAATCCAGAGGCTAGCAGTTCAACTTCTGTAACACCAGATGTTAGTGACAATGAACCTGATCATTATAGATACTCTGACACCACTGACTCTGATCCAGAGAATGAACCTTTTGATGAAGATCAGCATACGCAGATTACAAAAGTCTGAATATTTTTTTTATCGGAGATAAAAAAACCCACACAAAAAAAACCCAACCACGAAGAGTGACAAACTTGAATAAACTGAAAAAAGGACCTTTTTAAATGGCGAAAGGACGTAGTGTCAGATTACCAGTTATAGGAACAATTCTTTTCCTGACCAATCTTGTTTTGCCCTATAAATCTACAGGGTTTGACACTTGTCCAGTTGGGAAAAAAAGAAAAAGGTTACGTATCTCTGATATGTATATACCTTTTTGTGTCAAAAGGACATTAAAACTTCGATTAGGAACTATAAACATGGCACTTTCCCATTTTATTCCAGTTTTATAAAAGTGGAGACAGACCTAATGTGTATACGTAGGATTTTTTCCTTTTGTGTTCTGTCACCAAACGAAGTTTTGAAAATATACAGGTTCACATCCTGCCCCTTTTTTTGCACTTGTGTGGCAACAGAAGAGTCTGCAGTTGGCTAAGAGATGTTTCTAGAAGGTTTTATTACATTCTAATGCATGTATTTTGGATGGGGGATGGAAAGTAATGCTCAGAAAGGAATGTAGTCCGCTGGAGCTTGGCCTGTGTACCATATCCAGCTATTTACATGCACCTTTCTTTAGCATGTTACCGTAATTCATCCTGGACAATGGAAGAGTCGCCGCTGTCACTGCTTGTTGTTTGTGCATTTTATTTTTTTAAGTGTAATGGTGCTAGAAAAGGCAGCTAGAGGGAATGATTCTGTATAGGGGTACAGGAATGAACCTTCACAACATCCTAAAGACCCACAAATGAAGGGAGAAAAATTATTGGGGTCACAGAAAGGAAACACAGCAACAATGACTTAACCATACAAATGTGGAGGCTATCAACTAAAATACGGGCTTGAAACAAATTGTGAGAAAATTTGACAATGATTTAATAATTTTTTTTTCTGAATTGTAATGGCTGCTCCATCTCTTGTGTAATCAAGGCCAGTGCTAAAAGTCAGATGCTATTAGTGCATACATCAGTCAACATCATCTTACGTTTATATTACTAGTTTTCCAATCATATTCCT